ATCTGCCTCTCTCCTTTCCCTGCATGCGGTGCTATAAAATGATGCCCGTTGCAGCAGCAGCAGCAGCATTAACAGTAATTGTTTGAAGACGCTTTTGGTTGGTGTGCCATGGAAGAGTGGATGTTTTGTAGATTGAGGTTGTTATTGTCGTGTTGGTGGGCGTTACTCGTTGAAGTAGACGGAGGTGATGCTCACGTGAGGGATAATTGGTGAGTGAGCGAGTGATTGAGTGAGTGAGTGGGTGAAGGCAGTGTGGAGGGAATGTAATGTGCTACTGAAGTGCAGTCGAATTAGCTATTGGCGTGGGATGGTGGAGTGTTCTCACTCACCTTCCACTGGTGCCTGTTGGATGTTGAGGGTTTGGTGTTTGTGCGTATATCTGAATTGTGGGAGTGGTAAAGGTAGTGCATTGACGGAGAGAGAAGTGGTAGTAGTGCTGCTTTGGTGGTCCCTTGTGTTGGTGGGTGAGGGGAGTGGGAGTAATTGCTATGTATTTGAGTGAACTGGACAGTTGTGTGAGGGTGTACGATTGGAGGAATGAGTAAATGAGTGGATGAATGCATGGAAGAGGTGTCAGTGGGTGGAAGTGCGCTGTGTTGGTTGTGTGTGGCATTGGGATTTGTTGGTGGCTGTCAGTTTGGGCAAGTGTGTGCTGCACTCGGGTCAGGGTGGAGGGTGAGAGGAAATGATGAAATACTATCTCTTGGTGCGCGAGAGTAGAGGTGTTTGCAGTGGTGTGGAGGGTGGATTGTTAGGTGTGACGTGGCACAAAGTCTATGACTGCATCGCCTGTGATGTGTGAGAATGTGGTGAAGTGATGGTAAGGAGGAGGGTTATGCGTGTTTTTGACCTGATCTGTGGAAGTGCGGAGTGAAGCGTACTGTTGGACGCAGTGTCATGACCACCCTGAAAGCACCCCGTTCTCCTAATCACCACCGACGCCTTAAATCTGCACAGTGGTCAAGTGGAAGAGACAACAACACCGTGCATGTAGAACTGACTGAGTGTCAAAATAGGGAATGATTGTGTAAAGTAAGTTTATTGAGGAAAGCATTTGCACAAACAAGGCAAGTGTTGGTACGGTAATCGGAACTTAGTGGGAGATGTAAGCATGTAAAGATATGCAGCGATTGTTGTCACGAAATAGGTTGAATGGAATTAGTGTTGCTACTTTGTAAAATTTTATTGCTGTGGCATCAGACAAGATGGAGGAATCTCAATAACGTAATGGTTTGATAATATATCCTCGTCGATAGCGTCTTCTTCGTGTGCTCCTTCTCCGTCGACGTCGTGGCCTAGCTGGTACGAGAACATCTTCGTCCTCCTCAGCTTCGTTGGGTACGCTAAGGCTCTCCATCTCAAACACGTCTGGCACCACATCGTCACTCATATCAGACAGTTCTGACGCCAACCTCGATATGGCCTCGTCTTCCTCCTCTGCTCTCGCATTCTCCACAACCGCTGCGGCGGCAAAGACAGGATACGATGCGACGGCGAGGAGGAGGCACAGACAGATGAGGGTTGATGCTGATTGCATGCTGTTGCAGTGTGGAGCTGATGTTGATTGAAGGTGGAATGGATTGTGTGTGCGTTGCACGAGCATTTATAGATGGTCTTGTTTATTCCTCCACCCGACTGTTTATGGTGGGGCGTGGGCGGAGTGGCAGCATTATTTCAGCCTTGCGGACAAAATGAAGATGAGTGAATGTTGACGTGACGTCAGTGCCTGCATTGACGGTGGGGAAACGTGTTGCGTGGAATGCAGTCAGTGGAGCCAAAATCTCCTTCTGCTCGAGCTGCCGCCGCACGATTCTTTGCCACTCGGAAAGCAGGAAAGTGTAAGTTGAAGTGATGCTTCGCAGTGTGTCGGCGTACATCAAAGTGGAGTGACGAAATGCGCGATAGTTGTGGGAAGTTCTGTGGTTTTCTCTTGCCACCGAACCTGTGCATTGCATTGTTGGCTGTTTGAGGGCGCATAGTTCTAGCTTCACAAACACCGATTTGTTCGTGCTGTTGTGCGTATTTTCACCACTGTTGAGGTGAATGGAGGCACGGGAGGTGACTCAGTCAACATGGAAGGCGATGGTGTGAGCTGATCGGTCATTGTGCACACCTAACGCTTTCTTGATGGGGAGGAGTGTGGAGGGATCGTTAGGACAGTC